CGGAGGTGGGCGGGGGGGGGGGGGTGTACTCATAGTCGTGCATGCCGTAGTCGTTTGACCATTGACCTCGCATCCCTACAAAGCCGGGACGGAGCACGCCGGGTTCTCACCGGACCAGGCTCCCACATCACCAAGCGCGAAGCGCCGTGAGGTATTTGGCGAGTCGCATGAAGGGTGAGCTGCATCCTGCTAAGGGTGTTCGGCATCTTGTGCTTACTTCCTTGCGTACGGATGACAGCTACGTATGACTTAATTTATTTTCTGGTGCTTTCACTTCCAGAGACAGTTGTAAGCACTGTGTAACTGCCTCGAGGAAGCTTGACCATTTTAACACAACGAGGTGCGATCATCCCCCGTTGCGCGGAGTGAGGTTTCTCGACCCCGCACAACATGATCTACTCGACCACCATTATGGTTACCGCCAAAAAAAAAAAACGGTAACCTGGTTGCCGAGTTCACGAAGTGAATTGGCTTTGTTTTACAACGTCGTTGCCAAGCGACGAAAACCCAAACCCCGATGGCAAACACCGGGGGGGGGGGGGGGGGGGGCTTACAGCGAAACTTCTCCTGCCACGTGGTACAAGGTACAAGGTCTGCACGGCAGAACACCCAAGCCTTGCCGGGCAACTCCACTGTGCCGGGCAGGAAAATCGTTACGGCGACAGCGGTTAGGTCCCACGCTCTCAGAGAGAGAAGAATTTCGATTGGCGGCATCATCTAGCCCAACCCCAAATTTTTCGTTATACCGTACCGGTAAACAGCGGCCCGGCGGTACGTCCATTTCGCCGCAGGATCAACTTCCGTTCGCCTCATCTTCGCAGTGTTTACTGTTCTTTTCCCCTCAATGTTGATGGGAGGTTCAAAGATTACCGTAATAAAGACAAAAAGTACATGGAAGTAAACGGTGTACTTTTGGTTTGTGTCCTCTCCAAATGTCCTTCCTTGCTTCAAAGAGAGCAGAAAAAATTCAGGACATCGCACAAAGACTACCCATTCGAGATAAACACCACAGCGGTGGAATTTTCTTGTGTTGACGTTTTTTGTTTTTTGCCCTTAATGTTCCCACGAAAAGGAGCTAGCACGCAAGAACAGAACGAAACAACTCTTGAAGCCAAGTTCCTCTCACCCCGCGTCTCCCGCCTTGTCCAGGCTCTTTAGGACGTCGTCCCTCACGTCCGACTGCGAGAATATCAGCTCCCCCAGGAACCGGTCGTAATCCTTCTCCGTAGAGAAATCTTCCAGGGGCCCCGCGCAAATCCTGGAGACGTCGACCCCCCCCCCCCGGTTGATGTGTATCGATGGCAACGAGGAGTACAATGAGCGGCAGACAGGAGCAAAAAGTGAAGGCGTGTGGCGAAGCCAGCAATAGCACTTGGACACAGAATGCGCCACCCATTCAATTAAACACCTCTTAGTTCTTCAGCTGTGAGGTCCAAACATGGACTTATGCATTGTAGGTGACGCAAGATATCACACCTCCCGGACCGATCTTCAGAGCTCGACTTTCTCCACGGCGAAGAGGATGCATGAATGAAACGATACGTTTCCGAAAAGCTTTCGATGAGACGGTTCCAACGCCGCCATTATGGGCACCGCCTCTCTTTCTGCTGTGGATTAATCGAGCTTTAAAATCAGCCCAGGGGGTGTGATATATTGTGTGATGTCACCTACGGTCATACGGTTCTTGGTGCGGGATTCTTAACACTTCGTAGGAGCAGCATCTTCAGCCGTAAGAAAACTACTTCATGTAGAACCAGGTGTAAGGGAAGTCGTCAGCAAGGGACGAACGCTACTTCGGTCGCCTCCGTTGTAAGGACTAGCCTAGCTTGTACATGCATTTTGCATCCGTAACAAATCGGGGAACACGCGTCGACCCCTCAACCATTGGGCCTGTAAAGGTGTAGTGTACAGACATATTACAGAAGTAGACATGCACACTATTAGCACAGCGTGATCTTTGCCACAATAGCCACGCCCGCCAAAATCAACGTCGCATTTTACCATCGGAATCCTTAAAAGTGCGATGGTCGCCAACGGGATACAACATGCAATTTGCAGCTGCTGCGATTGCCGACTTCGCGTACGTACACACGTGGTGGTTGTACTTATGCTGCTGTACTGCTGCTGTAGTACGTTGCAGACGTACGCAGCAGTTGATAATTATGTTGCAAGAGGCCGAGGCCCTTCGCTTATTTCACGAAACCGTTTGATGAGCCCCTGCTGCTAAGGCTGTGGAAGCCTAGCCGGACAGAAGTCAGGGATGCTGCTTGTGTGCAAGCGGGTGTCGCAGCAGCGGGTACGTGTGGTTGCTGTGAACGGTCTTGTCGCTGCTCATGATTCTCCACCATCTTCGGTTCTTTAGCGTCGAGGCAAGGCCGTCCACACACGGATGCAGACATACACGCTCGGACCCTCTGCAACACCGCCCAATCCCTGGGGACTCCACGAGCACCCAGAGGTCTCTTACCCTTCACAACGCTGTGTGCGGAGTCCACAGGACGGGGCTTGACACATGATGACGATGAGAGCGGACGCAACTACCTCTGCCTACATAACCACAACGTCAACTACTCACCTAGTCTTCAACGCGCGTGAGGCAGCAGCCGGGCTCGGCACGAGGGTGGGCACGAGGCCCCGAGCGGCCGGCTGGCGGGCCACCGGCCTGCTGGCTCCGCCCGCCGCCGCTGTTGCTGCCGACGACGCCGGCGCTCCTCTTGAGCCCCAGGGCAACGGCAACAGGAACGCTTCAGACGACGACAGCAGAGCTGAGGCCGCCAGTATGACCGTCCATCTCCCCATCTCCACAAGCTAGAGCTGTGCGATCGTCGTCGCCTCGAACACTTGGCTGCTACTCTAGGAAGTGGACGTGGTGCCTCCCAGGATCGTCGTCAATGTCTCTCTCGAAAGGTATGCTGCTTTGATGTGTCGGCCCAGGCGCGGTCTTGGGAGTTCAAATAACGCATACGGTAGTAGCGCGCTGTTTTTTTTTTTTTTGCGACATGCGATAAAATGAGACAAAAATCAGTAACATTCAACAATGTCCAAAGTATTCTCGCGCAGGCTGGCCTCGACCTCCCGTTCCCACCCAAGCCGTGCTCACCATCACCCGACCTGTCCCTGCCGTATTCTGTCGGCGCGGGGGACATCGCTTCGGGGTGTGCTCAAAATACTTCAATTCTTGTGGGGGGAGAACAGGAAAAAACAAGAGGTTTTACGTGTTTTTGTGACAAGCACGAATAAAACATCAAATCAAACACACACGAGTGGGTGCGTTTGGGTGGGGGGCGGGGGGAGGTGCGATTAACGAGAGACAAGCGCGCGGCAGGACGGGGGGGGAGCCATGGATGCTCCTTCAGTCGGCGTGGGCGTCGCCACGAGCGCGGCGGCCGAAGAATCGTCCACTAGTAGTATGATCGACACTAGTATTTTCAAGTCCGGCGGTGACGGCCCGCGCGAACCAACGTCTCAATCAACAACATTGGGCGTTGGAGCAGGCGACCGCGAAGCACGAGCAGCACCAGCAGCACCAGCAGACGCAACAGCGACACCGATGGACCCCACCGTCGCCGCCGCCGTCAAGTCGGCGCGGTCGGCGCTGGTGGCTTCCGCCTTCGCTGCCGCCTGCTGCAGTGCCGCCGTTTCCGCGACAATGGCGCCACCGCCGGACAGCGGCAGCAGTTGTAGCGGAGCTGCTGCTGCTGCTGCTCCTGCTACAACCACGTTTCCTGGAAGCAGCAGCAGCAGCAGTAGCAGTAGCGTTGGCTCCCAGCACCAGGAGACTGCTGAAGACGACGACAACGGGGGGACTGAGCCGCGATTCCCGGCGGAGTCGCGGTGGCCGAGCGAGGGTTGGAAGGTGGATGGCGAAGCTGGTAATACGGCAGCGACTCCCCACTACGGAATTGGGGCAAATAGTAGTAACCCAACTGCCGCCGGCCTCAATGGGGTTGATTCCTCTGTAGGGCGGGAGGATGGGCAGCGGCAGCAGCATCAGCAGCCTGCGATAAAGCGGGAGCTTGGGGAAGGGGGGGCTGGGTCGAGGGGCGGACGGCGTGGCGGGAGAGGACGGCCAGCCCTGGGTGCTCGAGCAGGCTGGAGGCCGGTGAGTGTTTAGTCTCCACTCTGCCTTTTGGTTGTCCTGCTGACACGCTGTTGTTGCTGCCCATATTTTCATCACACAAGAAACGTACAGCTGGAAAAGTATCGTGCAGGAATAAGAAACGTCTTGATTTTGGTGTACATGACGATCACACGTACAACATCAGGGGTCGTGTGTATCATGCGTACAAGTACACTCGTTTACGTTCTTTCTCACCTGCTCCTCCCTTTATTTTTGCGTTGCACCGGCCACACACGAAAAATCCCAACGCACAACACACACAAGCACAGCAGTATTAGTCAGTTGACGCGGCCGCGATGCTTATCAAAGAAACTCACGCGCGAGGGAAACAAACGTCCGACGTATTTGGGGAGGTAAACGCCAATAAACGCCCGCCCATCACACTCTCTTTGTTCGAAATGGAATATTATTTCCCATTCTACGAATGGATTGTGGAACACGAATGACCGCGACAACAGTTGGTCACTACAATCTACAGCAGGCACATGAGTTATCATCAAGAATGGGTTTGTGGATCGCCCGTGTGTGTTTTCTGTCTACGTTTACGTATTACGTATGCATAGACCACTCATTACTTCGAATTTTCATTCCTTCTCTGGTGAAGGCCTTGGTTGTACGTAGGCAATGAAGAAGTACTTCGTGCGAGGGTCTCTCACCATATGGGGGCCTTCATGACGTCTGGCGCACCAAACATACCAGATGAAGACTGAGACATATTCGGAGCTTTTACTTTGTTTTTTCACCTGGTAGGTGAGCCTTGACGGACGTTGTCATTATTCATCAATAGGCTGCTACGTCACTACTTGAACTCCACTTCATTTTACAATTACGTTGGAGGGGTTCTCCACGATATTTTGTCGTTGACCCAGTAGAGAACTACAGGGGATGTATTGTAAAATGTAAGTTACCTATACAGATGTTTTTGTACTTGGCACCAGCTGGCATCACTGATATAAATCATTAGTGTATAGACTCATAAAGACTCGAAATAAGTCCAGTACCCAGCCGGTTTTCCTCCACTCACTGAAAGAATCCACCACATCCCGTTCGACTGTGGGTATATCTCGAATGAGTAGTCTTTCCGTGTGTGTATTTATTATTCCTTAATTGCGTGGACACCACCATCACCACAATAGTACAAACTAATTCCAAGTCCTCTTTTTGTACCTGCTGTGGCTCCGTACCTCCAATACCCCCAATTTTCCGGAGCAAATTCATGCGGAAGTATGGTACGTACACGCATGCATGTCACAACTCGCATGTTTTATGCGTTGTACTGGTTTCCAAATACTGGTACATGGTGTCGTTGTGTTGTGTCTCGCTGGCTACCGCAGTATACAGCAGCAATATGATCTCCTCCCCTGATTATTTTTTTTGTACTACGTTCAGAAGTGATGACGTTGTACAGGAAAACTGAAAAATATGTGCGCTTACTGCGAACGTCTTGTGTTATTGCTACTTTCTACCAGTGCACACGGAAGTACATATACATACGATACATGCACACGGAGGAGGAGAGAACGCGAAAATCATCACCAACACATGGACATTGAACTGCTGGCACAAGCAACGTCACAACGTCACACTTTTTTGTTTTCCGTTTTTTTTAAGCTACCTTTATTGTTACGATTTCCCAAGCAGCGCAAAGCGATATTTCCCCTGAGGGAAACAGATTCAACAGACATTCTGGTACAAGCCGTCTTGTGTATCTCTGCTGTTGCAAACCCCGCCCCAAAAGCATCGATAAAAAAGTAAATTGAGGGTATTTTTTTTCGTCTGTGTTCTTGTCGTGGACCAACTGCTGGAGACTACGGAGTACCAGGTTATATTAGAACAAATCTATACAAGGATTATACTGCTGTAGATGTAAGGAATAATAAAAACACACACAGAAAGACTAGATTCTCACTCTCCCTGGACCTTGGTGAGCTGTTGCGGTGGAGTTGGTGATGTGTTGATTTTTTTATTTTTGTTATTATTATTTTTTTTTTGTTCTTCACTTCAAATCAGCGCTCACAGCACTAGTGCCGTTTATTCCGACCCGTGGTCACACAGAAGAGTCCCTCTCTGCCCTCCCCTCCTGCGGTACTTTGCCTACGATTTTTAATGCGAGAAGAGTTCAGCACTCTCTTCCCTCTGTGTACACACGAACTAGCGCTATCCACTCGGCCAGGAGCGGAGGCGAGAGAAAAACTCACTTTGCAAGAAAAGCTCGCCTACGCCGGGATTCGAACCCCTGACCTGACCTCTAGAAGGTTTCGAGGTTACCAACTAGACCACGGGGGTGAATGTGTTTCATACAATCACTTGGTTTTCCTCCAGTCACTGCAAAGACTCGAACACATCCCGTTCGACTGTGGTTATATCTCGAATGGGTAATTTTTCTGTGTTTGTATATGCTTCCTTCACTTGTTCGGGTGGTTGTGTTACAGCAGTGGTGGAGAGTTGTGTGCTGCTTTCAGTGGCATCAACACGCTAATCAATGAAATGAGACAAGTTACGCTAACGTGTGCGTTTCGTCCCGTAAGTGTTTCCTCCCAAAACCCAACAAGTAGCAATGAACCACATTAGTACCCACCGCAACCTTTGAAGTATTGGTGAGGTTCTGGGAGTTGTTCTTTTTCCTGGAGCTCGCTTCCACCTTTTTGGTGTGTTCCTTGGCCTTCACAAACACCAATTAATAAATAGGGAACACCCTACTATATATATTGATTATGTAGCTGAGTCCACATATAATTTGTTGAGCAGCCGGAGTCACAAATGAGGAATAATGATTTCCAGATTTTGGCTGCGTTTTCGACGTTCTGCGGTACGTGCGGTTCCTGCTTGCGCGTACAAGTCTTTACTACTCCCCGAAACCATCAACACTAAAAATAAAATCGCACAAATCGACCCACACGCAAGAGGTCCGTTCAGGATCCTTTTCCCTGCATGACGTGCGTTGTGCGTGCCAACTTTCCGAAAACAACGATTTGAAAGTAAAACAAGACAATAGGTGTCGCTACGGCGGCATCGAGCTGATTTGGAAAAACTGCAACGTTGTGGGCAAATATACGCCGAAATTATCCCGAAACGACTTTTACTCAACGGTGCACGGAGGATTCAATTCAGTAACGTTGCCAGCATTTTGCTCGAAAGAATGACCAAATTATTCCCTGGTGATGGTGACAAAATATGATTTAAACTTTTAACAGCACGCCAGACACAAACCAAAATCCATTTGCATCCTTGGTTTTGCATCTACCCATGTATCACTAATTTAACAATCACATCACCCACCAACTTTTGTACAGATTTACGCTCTCTGCCACAAACAATATTTGTTGAGTTGACCGATACTTTCACATTGGCAAGATCGATCACAGAGGAATAGAGTGCAAGGCCCGCGAAAAACTATTGATTTATTGTAGCAGCAGTGGGCCACCTTACCCCGGCGCCCTCGGAGTTGGGTCTGATTCTTGGGAGAACAGAGTCTGTACCAGTGGATAGGTAAGCGATGTCCCACAGATTATATATAGAGCTGGTGTGCGTACACACACCCGGTCGACACAAGCATCCAGCGCGTTGCAACAAGGACGACTACTTTCGCCACTGCTGAATTCACCGCAATCAATGCCACGGCCAGCAAAAACATTGGCGTCCACAGCAGTCCACCCGACTATTATAGCCGAAAAGAAAGGTGCGAAACAAAGCTCTTCCTTGCATATATTTCTGAGGGTCGATGTCGCCACATACATACCCCCCCCCCCCAGTATGGGAGGGCGAAATGGGCAAACAAAAAGAGGGGTAGACAACCCACGGAATGGGTCAAGGTTGTAGAGGACGTATGGAAGGGATTGGACATCGACGAAGATGAAACGCTGGAAACGGAGGGTCTACAGGGGTTCAAGAAGAAGATATCTGTTGCTTGTGCCGACAGAGAAGAACAGAATCTAAGGAAAGAATCCAAGGATAAGGAGGGTCTAGAAGTGTACGGAATGTTGAAAGAAGGAATAGGGTTCAAGGATTACCTACATGGACCAATGGATGCAGGGACAAAGCTTAAGGTCAAATTCAGGACCGGGGACATAGGCCTTCGCGAACGTCGACGAAGACATAGGACGGTAGACGACGAAGACGACAAGTTCAAATGCGATTGCGGCTTCGAATGCGAAGACAGTGTTCATGTAGTCGCGGAATGTCCGTGGTACGAAAAGGAGAGGGAAGTGTACATGACTGAGCTGGGAAGAATACAAGGGAGGTACAGGGAGATGTTTGAGGCATGGAATAGAGAGGAGAGGACGGTAGCGGTACTGGGGAGTAGAAAGTGGTTTGAAAAGGCGGGAAGTGACATCGGTAGGATAGACAAACTAGGGAAGACATTTTTGAGCCACCTTTGGCAAAGTAGGAAGGAACGATTGGCCATCGGTGATCGGTCCTGTGGGAACAATGCTCCGTCCTATCGAGGACGCGTGGTCAATGGTCTAACCGCTAAGGCATGCAAAGCATAAGAGTACGCCCCCCCCCCCCCCCCCCCCCCCCCCC